TCAGGCTGATGGCTGCCAGCACAGTGGTGTGGTGGGAGCTCTCCTGCTCCTCAGCACCACTAAGATGTCCGACTGCAGCTTAGGTCTGCTCCCGCTGGCAAGTGGACATCCCCGAGGGCCCCGGGCTGCCAGAGGGATGTCTGACTGCCAGCTTAGACCTGATCTCCCAGAGAGTGGGCCTAAGCCAGCAGGTGGACATCCCTGAGGGGTCCCAGACTGTGAGAGGGCACAGGCCGGGCTGAGGGACCCCCCTGAGTGCACAAATTTTTGTAGATCGGGCCTCTAGTTTTTATATAAAATGGATGCTTCGCTTTAACATTCCATTGAAATCAATGGATAAATCGCCCAAACAGAAAATCAACAGGGAAACAGAGGTCTCAAATGACACATTAGATCCAATAGTTTTAATTTATTTACATAAAACAATTTACCCCAAAGCAACAGAATATACATTCTTTTCACATGCATATGGAACATTTTCTAGGACACACCACCAGGTGGGCCACAAAATAAGTCTCCAGAAATTTAGGAAATTTGAAATCATATCAAGAATGTTCACAAATAACAATGAGATAAAAGTAGAAATCAATTACAACAAAAACTGAAAACCACAAACACAGGAAAGCTAAATAGTACTCAACTAAACAAAGAAGGGTTAACAAAGAGATTAAGCCCTAACCGGTTTGGCTCAGTGGGTAGAGCGTCGGCTTGCGGACTCAAGGGCCCCAGGTTCGATTCTGGTCAAGGGCATGTACCTTGGTTGCAGGCACATTCCCAGTGGGGGGGTGTTCGGGAGGCAGCTGGTCGATGTTTCTCTCTCATTGATGTTTCTAACTTCTCTATCACTCTCCCTCTGTAAAAAATCAATAAAATATATTTTTTTTTAAAAAAAGGGAGATTAAGGGATTTGTTAGGGGTTCCTCCAACCCTGGAGCTTTTCCGGAATGTCATGCAGTGGATCACCATGTTGTCTTTTAAGTCCTGTCAAGAAACTTTGACACTGCATTTGCAATGGTACAGAATTATACAAGTCTAACAGCGTTCTTCTGAATGAAAGGTTTTGACTTTGGACAATACGGCACACATTCAGACTTCAAAATGGAGATTCCACTATTATGAGTTATGTAAATCGGGACAAGATTTCTACTTGCTTGTTTTCATTTGCATGGGGGGAGGAATGATGGGGGCAGGGGTCATAGGAGATACCAATGATCATAAAATCATAAAATATCTACACCGCTAAGAAAACATAAATTAGCACTGAAAGAAAGAAGAGGGACCAAGTCTGGACACCCTTTGATCTTTAAAGAAATAAAAGCAACACCTTTCCCCCATGTTTCATAACATCTCCTGGAAGTGTAAACATGGAAATGACCCCTGAAAACAGGAAAAATGAGCAGGACAGCTTGGTGCCTTCTGCTGAAACAAAAAACTTTCAGCTACTCTTCTCATCAGAGACACAGAAAATGTCCCTCATTGAGGATATCAAATATACCTGCTTTGCTGATACTCTGCCTGAGGTCACCTTAAACTTTCCTTAGATCATTATCCTCTGAACAGCAATGGCTTCCTGGTGTTTTAACCAGAAAACCACCTTAGACATGCACAGGAATCACTCTACTTACAGAAAACCCATAATGCGTACAACTGTGCAGATGACCAGAACTTTCAACTGGGAGGAACTCAAAATTTTCAAAAGGTAGACAAATTGTGTCACTCTGTTTGAATAGTAGCAAAATGATATGCCATTTCAAAAATGAATTTCAAATTATTTGCCTTGGTTTTAAATCAAAACACCATGGCCTAAGCAGTGAGAAGTCCCTCATGTCACAAACCCATGTCCATATTCTTAATCAAGTAGCACATGCTCTGAAACTTAGAATAATGGAAGACCATTGGTGTGAAACCAGGAAGGCAGAACTTTGGGGTTGTTTGTCCATTGTTTAAATCCACACTCTAGCAGATCCACAAATCTTTATGAAGTATTACATGGAAGGAAAGATGATCAGTGATGACACCCCCATTTACTGAGGCCCCTACCCTCCATAATGATGTATAATCCATCCCAGCTCACATTTATCTCACCTGTCAGCATTTGCACTTACTTTCAACTTTTTTTCTTTTCTTTTTAAAGTGTATTTTTTTTTTGTTTTTCAAGACAGTGACACAGAAACATCTAAGAATGAACATACATCAGCTGCCTCCAGCACACACCTCACTGGGGATCGAGCCTCCAACCTGGGCATCTGCCCTGACCAGCAATCAAATCATGACCTCCTGGTTTGATTGATGGTCAGGACAGATGCCCAGGTTGGGGGCTCATGGGCTGATACTCAACTACGGAGCCACACTCACCTGGCAACAACTTCATGTTCTAAGACAGTAAAGCTTTTTTATTTAACCATTATCTCCTTTCCCACAAAAACATAAGCACCAGCAATGCAATAAATTTTTTCTTTCATGCCTGCATATCATGACTTGAACAGGTATGCTAAATTGGGCATGTTTTCCATGTAAATCGCCTGGCACATGCAGGATGTTGACATTATCATCACGATCATACTTCCCTCTTGGCCAGGCAACTCAGTTGATCAGAGTATTGTCCCAATAAGATTGTGGGTTCATTCACAAGTCACACACAAGAATCAACCAATGATTGCATAAATAACTGAAACAACAGGTTGATGCTTCTCTTTCTCTCAAATCAACTTTTTTTAAAAGGCTGGGGGCTGGGGGGGGGGGTAGTCAAATTCTGTCAGCAAGAACCGATTCTTGGAAGAGAGATCCTAACTTTGTTTTCTTGCTAGGTTTGTGTTCCTTGACAATATTCCTAAACGTATAAACCTCAGTTGACTCATAAAGGAGTTAACAAGTTACATATCTTATTAAGTACATGCTGGATGTGAGGGTGATTTGACTGCGACATTTGTCATCCCATTGATCGCCAGGGTTGATTGGGCTGATCTGGCTGGCTAGGTGGGTGTCCCCCTCTTCCCTCACCAATCCATGTTCATCCCTCCCGAAGCTGCTCGCTCGGTCGTAGGGAACGACCTTCCACCCAGAAGAGAGGACAGGTCTTCGTTCAAGTGTATATGAGTAGCTGCGCTCCGCTGCTAGAACCTCCAAACAAGCTCTCAAGAAGTATGTGCTTTGATATTAATACTAGAGCCCCAGTGCACGAAATTTGTGTGTGTGTTGGGGGGAACCCCTCAGCCTGGCCTGTGCCCTCTTGCAGTCCGGGATCCCTTTTGCAGTCTGGGACCCTTCGCTCCTTACCGCTTGGCTCGCTGTTCCTTAGTGCTGCCGTGGAGGTGGAAAAGGCTCCCGTCACCACCGCTGCACTTGCCAGCTCAGAGTACTGCTTCTGGTTGAGCAGAGCTCCCCCTGTGTAAGCACACTGACCACCAGGGAGCAGCTCCTACATTGAGGGTCTGCCCCCGGTGGTCAGTGCATATTATAGCGATGAGTCATTCTGGCCATTGTCATCAGTTGCTTAGCCTTTTATTACATAGATATATGTAATATATATACACTTAACTGAGGTACTTTTTGGAACTGTGTCCAATACAGCATAGTAAATATTTCAGTATTTCGGTAACAACTGGTTGTTGGAAAGAAATACATCTTGTTGAAAAGAAAATGCCACACATCCATCATCACACAGAGCTACTCCATGACCACAATGAATCAAGACAAAAGCAAAGTGGAGGGGGGGTGGGAGGAGACATATGTAATACTCTTTGTAATACTTTAAGCAATAAAAAAGAAAGAAAAAAAAGACAAAAGCAAAGGCATTCATGTATGCACAGTGATCAAGGAGAACAGGTTTCAAAGAAATAAAAATAATGAGCTTTTCTCACTATGATTCATGCTTCATACAATTTTGGTTTAGCATTTTTTTCTGCATTCTAAAGAAAAATGATTTTTATTATGCAAGATAGAATTAAGTTCATTTCCTCCCAGAATTCAATGCAGAAAAATGTATTGCTTACTTGAATGGAAATCAAATTGTCTATCACAAGGAAAAATATAACAAAAAATCCTTTTAAGACTGCTGTTACTATTACATCCCCGGGAAGTAACAAAACACCATAACATGTCTTAGAGTGGTTGGAAAACAGTTAATATTTCATTAAAAATTACAGAAGCACTGCCCT